TTGATGTGATTTGGTATCTTGCAGGTTTCCTCACCTGTTTATTTGTGTAATTCAGGATGATGTGGCTGGATGTTTTGAGTGCAATGCTGACCTTGCTGAAGGTTTAGATGCAAAGAAAAAGGCTCCTGTCTCGCTTCCGATGGAAACATTCAAGTGTTATGTAGTGAAGGAGCCAATTGGGGTTGTCGCGTTAATTACTTCAAGGTACTCTCTGTTTCTAGACCAGTTGAAGTGCTTATTCTGTATGATCACATAAATAGGAGACATAGTCAAAGGATCTTATTACCTTAGTCTTACAAATATTAGTACATCTTGTACTTAAGAACTTTGCCAGATTTTTTTTTCCCAGGTTTGGTTGAGATGTAACCAAGGCCAATTTCATTTCTTCTCTGACTTAATGTTTCTTCTAAGATATAATAGTAAAACAAGAGACGTAGCTAATTTCGTTTCTTCTCTGACCATTTTAACTATGCTTTCAGTTGAAACCACTAACAGTGGCTATTTCAACATCAAAATTAGAATCACTTGTAGGTTGATTGTCACAGTCTGACACTAATTTTCATGCCATTGGTCCTAACTTGGTCTTCATTCGGTGCAACTTCCCAAGTATATCAATTTTTTTACGTTATTTATATTTTATAAATTTAAATTTTTCTCTTAAAATTTTACATTTTTAAACATTTTTTTAATTTTAAAAAGACTTTAAATAATAAAAAATCAAAATTTTCAAATTCAAATTTTTTATAAATTTTTTTTACTTATTTTTTACTCACTTTTAATTATTTCTAAAAGTAATTTTTAAATTTTTCCTCTAATAAAAATTTAAATTTATTACTCATAAACAGTAAAAAAAACAAAAACAAAAACAAAAACTCCAATAAACTGGCCCTTAGTTATTTTGTTTTTTGATTTTTCAATTCGTTGTAATTTGTGAATAAGTTGTTTTTGACCTTTTCCATTACTGTTTATGGTTGGTACCTACTGTATTCTGTGGCAATAAAATAATTTCATGATGTCTCCATCCTCTCCTTCTTGTTGAATTTACAACACGAGTTGCATTCATCTTTAATGTGTGACAATATGGATAAATTAGGTATTAGGTATCTTTTTACTTCGTTTTTACTAAGCAATTTGTTGACCAACAAGCAGAATTCACATTTCAGTTGTGTGTTAATAATTCACATATTGACTAACAAGCAGTCTCTCCTCGCATAATCACTTTGTGTGTTAATAATTCATCTATTGACCAACAAGCAGAATACATATTTCAGTTGTGATTTAATCCAAAAGGACTATACATGCTAAGAACTACAGAATTACAGAAGAATTTGCTCATTATGAGCTCATAAATTTAATGTTAATCAATAAGGTTGAAAACAAATTTCGTAGGGGAATAGGAATATACAAGAATATTAATCTTTTCAGTTTGAATCATAAAAAATTGTAATTTATGTTATTAATTAGTAAGAGCTGATATACTCTCACAATTTGGATTATATGTAGTTTAGATTACAAAAAAAACATTAAAAAAATTAAGAAAAATTAAAACATCATAATAATTGAAATGAAAAAAGACATTTATAAAGAAAAAAGATTAAGAGAAATTAAAACACCATAACAATTAAAATAACAAGAATAATAATAATAAATTTAAATATTTTTAATAAATTAGCATATAATAAAATTTATTAAAAATATTTAAATAATTTCTTAATACAGGTTGGTTTGTCAGTGCTCTAATAAAACAAAAAACAAAAATCATAAATTTTAAAGTAACAAAATCATGGTAAGGGTAGAAGAGAAGAATTTCAAAGGAACAAAATCCCGGTCAGGGTAGAATGGAAATTTCGTTCTATGGCAGTATACCGTACAAATTAACTGACAACTTTTTTTTTTTTTTTTATATCTAATACTCAAATTAAATCTCAATTAATTTAAAATTTAATCGTCCAATTTTATAAGTGAAAAATTCTTTCAAAATCAGTTTTTCTATTTACAAAATTCAAATTTAAAATTTAATTTAAAAAAAATTAAATTTTTTCGATTCAAATAAGTAAATAATTAGCTACTAACGGACAAAACATGAAGAATCAAGCCCGAGATTCGTTACCAAAATTCAAATTCCCGCTCTAAACGAATCTCGGATTTGATTTTCGAAATATGATCCCTCCAAACACTCCCTCTCTTTCAAAATCCCTCACCATTGCAACATTAGTTGTGAAACTTCTCTCCAAGAGACGAGCTTCCAACTGATGATCA